AACTGTTCTGTTACTTAAAAAAGATGTGACAATAGTCATGCATGTAGTACCGCGAGGCGTCAGTGCTGGCACAGATCCTTGGTGTGCAAGAAATCTCCCCTAATCTGTATGCAGATGATGTCTTCGGCGAGCCAGGCACCAGGTCCGATCGCGAACATTGATAATAAGTATTACATACACACAGCGAGTACTGGAAGTAGTATTACACACAGCGAGTACTGGAAATACTACTACTATTAGCAATAGTCCATAACCATGATAACCCAAGAGTATGCAACTGTGATCTCTTTTCTATGGGCCAGATGTGCGGCGCGCTGCCTTCATTACATCATTCAGCTACAGTCCGCGCACTGCGGAAAATCAAACACCGCATTTTCCCTCTGGTTTGAAATGAACTTTCGTACGGAACTGGAGTTCACGCGCCAGAATTCAGAGATCGCGTAGGTACTGGCACGAATCGAGCAAAAACGGATGGGCTCGTACGAGAAATTGTGAGTTTGAGTGCATGCTTTCAGAGCGTGATGAAGACAAGTTACGTAATGAAGGCAGCGCGCCACGCATGCACCCATAATCACAGTTGCATACTCTTGGGTTATGGACTCTTGCTATTAGTGACACGAATTCTGTATACCTTGCGCGCAGTATCCGTGCGCGAAATCCCCCGGCATCGCAAACACATCAGTGAGAAGTGCGTGGCAACGAGTTTGAAAAGGAGAAGCGAATCAGGGCAGGCAAGAGCAGCGGACGTACCCGTGTCAAACGCCACTCTTGGACACGTCGCCACAAAGCTCCAGATGACTGCAGGTACTGACTACGTTCGAACTAAACAAGAAGAACACACGGTTCGGATTGCGGAGCTCTCCTTGGTGAGGTTGTAACAACAGCATTCCTTTATAATGAGCACAAAAAAGGAGCGCAACGCCACCCAGTCAGAAACCGAGCCAGTAGCCGAGAAGTGGACGAGTGAACGACCTGATAAAGGTGCGTACGCTGGTCAAGCAAGAGTAGATAGTAAATAACAAGTACATGCCATTGTACCAGGATACAGAGCCGGAGTAATTCTGGACGATAGAAGTGTATCACCAACACTTCTCCATTTGGAGACAGCAGGGGAACTGCGGAACACGAATCTATCACTGATCTCCCGCTATCGCCATTGGCGCCTGATAAAGCCTACCTGTTACTACAGAAGAAGGAGCCGCCGATCCTGAAGTGAAGCCTAGCACAAGTCAACTTTCTTACGCAGTTGTCAATAGCAACAATAAGGGAACGAGCCACTGGCAATGGCAACAGTTGCAGAAGGATCACATTCTTCTCCGTCGTCCGAACAGAATGTGACAGGGGCAGCAGATGGGAATCATAGCCAGACAGAAGAGACCAGCCACCAAGGACAGAATGTAAGTAGTAAGTGCGGGGCGGGTTCTGGCACACTTTTTGACCTTTGACCTTTGGGCCAAATAAGGCACACTGTGTCGGTCGTGCTGGGTCTGGCCCCGGGACTCCCCCAGGGTTTGACCTTTGACCTTTGGGTTAAATAAGGCACACTGTATCGGGCGCGTTTGGTCTGGCCCCGGGACTCCCCCAGGGTTTGACCTTTGACCCTGTCATGCCATAAATGTCATCATGTTCTTTTCCGTGGCGAACGTGGACTTGTGCACGTTCGGTGCATTCGCACCGGGGAGTAGTAAAATACGTACTATCCCCTGATTTGCACATCGTAGATGTACATTGCATGCAGTGACATATTGCGCATGCGTGCATACGCACGCGGAGCGTGTGACCTTCAGTGGCCCTGCGGAAAAGACGCAGTGCAACACAAGGTGTACTAGTACACGTGTCATTATACTACTCCCTGATTCGCACCTCGTAGATTTGCAGCAAACAAAGTTCACGTTCCGTGCATTCGTTTTATTTGCACATCGTAGATGTGCACTGATTGACAAGTTGCCCATGCAGAGCATGCCTAATCGGCTTTTCGATCGGTTAAGAGAATGTTCAAATTCGGCCATATTATGAGCCCCAAGATCAGAATTCGGCTCAACATAGTACTTGAAGTCACCGTTCCCATTACGTCATGTATAATAATCTTTATTTCAGGATTACCCAAAGGCTAACGCCTATCTGGGGGATCTCCTATTTGTGTGTACATTTACATACACCCTGTAGAAGCACTGAAACATCGGTTTTCGGCGAATTCAACATGCGAATTTTTGAACATTCGGTGAAAAGATGGGTAATTTCTTCAAAACCACTGTTTTCGGCGAATTTTTCGCCCGGCCGATTAGGGAAATGCCTACTATCCATGCAGGTACATTAGATGCATATTTCTATTTTGATCGGAATTCAGTTAGAATCAACCGGCTACGACCGGAGTATCATGCATCAAAACAATTATTGAAGGGGTGTCACAGTGAAGCAGTGTTGCTACGCACCACAAATCCCCTCTGCCCTGCACCGAATTTATACTGGAGAATCCAGAGTGACCAGCAAAGAGTCACAACCCGCGGGTATCCAGTCACACTAAGGCATGTCCACCATTCCCCACATATTCACTGTAACAAAACACAATACTGTTTACTATAATACACTTTTATTTAAATTGACTTGGATGAGTCTGTAGAAGAGAACACAATGCACGCACACGCGCGCATGCGCGGACACACACACACGCACACACGCACACACACATCTAGGTTATAGTGCTATACACGTATCTAGGGTTTAGGAAGCATGAGAATATGTCGATGCACCCACACATACCCCTTCATGCAGTGTACTTCAGTAGCCCAACACATTACGACTGCTCAGGACCATCACAAAATACATCACGACTGCTATAGCACAGTACCATCACAAAACACTACACACTGTTACTACACTGCACGCACAGTTACTACACTACGCCTGTTACAAGTACTTACAAATAATTTTGAAACAAGTGGCACATCCTGAAGACGGCAGCCCCAGACCTTCATACATCATCATCTGTGAAACCAAGCATGAGCGCACACAAACACTATTAGTGTCACGAATACGAAAGCAGGGTAAGACAAGAGGATACGAAACAAGTAAGTATCGCTATAACGAGGGGGTAAGTATACATGTAAACAGAGCAGTGCTTACTTACAGGGTCTTAATACGCTCTACGGCGTCCCGGTAGTCGGACTGCAACAGCAGTCCGACTTGCCGACCCTCCCAGTAACGGGTTAGATGGGCCGTACCCGTGAGGTGGGCGACCACGGCTGGGCCTCCCACCAGCCTTTCTCCACTGTAAAAACGAAAGAAACCGCAGAAAGCACAGTGTCATAGAGCTCTTTTGTTGGGGGAGAGAGCTAGGAGCACTGCACACTTACCATTTGTCCCAATATATGATGAGAAAGAGGCGGCGCTTGACGCACCGCCTCAGGTGCTGGAACAGGGGTGTTACCCCTGTAAGTTCGACACCGCAATGGCACGTGAACGTCATTTGGACTGTATTGATACTGAAGTGAAGGTGTGAACCGCAAAGCAAGACCTTTATCTTCTTCCTGTCGAATTCGCTCCCCAGCTGCATACCGACATCATCCGCTAAAATCCAATCATACCAAGTAACGCAAAGGTCATCAGTTGACCTTTTGGACTTTTCAACTCTTATCCAAAACCACCAAGAGGAAAAAAAACCAGGATAATAATGATAATCTTTATTTCAGGATTACCCAAAGGCTAACGCCTATCTGGGGATGAAGAAGACGTCAGTTGTAGAAGCGTTTGTGGAGGAGTTGTTACATTATTCTCAGTAAATAGATATGGCTAATACATTCGGTGTAGACGTGGACGACCGGTCGTGGTCTCTCACCACGGGTCCTTTACTAATAGAAAGGCGGACGCCAATAAGAACTGTTGTGGAGTTGGCAGATCAAAACGCGCAGCAAGAAATTTGGCACGTCGACGGTAGACTCCATCGGGAGGACGGACCAGCTCTTGTTGATAGTAGGGGAGTGTCCGCCTGGTGCTATGGAGGTCGCCTTCATCGCGTTAATGAACCGGCTTGGATAGGACGGGGCAGCATCGAGTACTACCTCAACGGTGTCCGTCACAGAGCCGGCGGTCCTGCAGGCAGTTATTGTGACGCCACATGCTGTATTCTACGGTGGTATCACCACGGAATGCTCCACAGGGAGAATGCGCCAGCGGTGATACGCAGGGAAGGTAACAATCGTGTACGGGAGTGGTACCGATACAACCTTCGGCATAGGGAAGATGGACCTGCTTTCATCTCTCAGGAGGAGGAGGGTATCTATCAGTGGTACCTCAACGGGGTGTATTACGGTAGCCACCATCAAGACCAGGCAATACACCCCATGGAGCTGCAGTACATCAATGTACTACCAACTAAGGTAGACTCGTCAGCAATAAGTCATGAGCCCATTTGTTGTGATTTGTCAGGATACCCTGGACCGTCCTCTATCCAAGTTGGAGTGCGGTCATGAATTTCACTTCCACTGTATGAAGGAGTGGATCAGTTCTGCCTCCAGCCCAACTTGCCCAACCTGCCGCTACTCCATGACTGCTGAGGACTTGGTTGAGTTCTTGTAGTAATACATGACACAGCTGCGTGTAGGCGACTACGAATGACCAGTCATGTGCTACAGGTGGACACGGACACGCCACCCTAAGTAGCCATGCGCGGCTATTTGGACAAGGACAACAAAGCACCTCGTGGGCGGCCAAGGTTGACACTAGCCACAAGTCTGGTCGCTCAGTTGAATAAGCTGGGTGTGCCCATGAAGACCATGGAAGACCTTTCCAGGTGCCGACAACATGCAGAGGACAAGACAGACTGGAAGAAACTGTGCAGCTCGACACTCGAGGACAAATCAGTATCAGCAGCTACTACACCTTGCTGATGATGCTCACAAGACAGAAGTGGGAAAAAACACTGAATTTCTTTATTTTAGTGCTGAACTACGCGAAATGTGTTATTATTATTATACATGTTCAACTGTACTCAGTCTGGCTGACTGCCATTCTCTACCACACATTACCGGACACTGTTGTGGTTGTCGTCGTTATCGTCGTCGTTGTTGATGTTGTAGTCGGTTGTTGTCGTCGTTATCGTCGTCGTTGTTGACGTTGTTATTGGTTGTTGCTGCCGGTTGTTGCCGGTTGTTGTTGGTTGTTGTTGGTTGTTGTTGATGTTGTTGTCGGTTGTTGTCGTCGTTATCGTCGTCGTTGTTGATGTTGTTATTGGTTGTTGCTGTCGGTTGTTGGTTGTTATTGTTGATTGTTGTCGGTTGTTGTTGGCTGTTGGATGTTGTTGTCGGTTGTTGTCGGTTGTTGCTGGTTATTGTTGGTTGTTGTTGGTTGTTGTTGGGCGTTGTTGGTTGTTGTCGGTTGTTGTCAGGTGTTGTTGGTTGTTGTTGGTTGTTGTTGGTTGTTGTTGTCGGTTGTTGGGTGTTGTTGTTGGTTGTTGTTGGTTGTTGTCGGTTGTTGGGTGTTGTTGTTAGTTGTTGTTGGTTGTTGTTGTCGGTTGTTGTTGGTTGTTGTCGGTTTTTGTCCGTTGCTGTTGGTTGTTGTTGGTTGTTGTTGGCTGTTTTTGGTTGTTGTTGTTTGTTGTTGTCGGTTGTTGGTTGTTGTTGTTTGTTGTTGTTGGTTGTAGTTGGTTGTTGTCAGTTGTAGTTGGTTGTTGGATGTTGTTGTCGGTTGTTGTCGGTTGTTGTCAGTTGTTGTTGGTTGTTGTTGGTTGTTGTTGGCTGTTGTTGGTTGTTGTTGGTTGTTGTTGTTGTCGGTTGTTGGTTGTTGTTGTTTGTTGTTGTTGGTTGTAGTTGGTTGTTGTCAGTTGTTGTTGGTTGTTGGATGTTGTTGTCGGTTGTTGTCGGTTGTTGTTGGTTGTTGTTGGCTGTTGTTGGTTGTTTTTGGTTGTTATTGGTTGTTGTCGGTTGTTGTCGGTTGTTGTGTTTTAATCGTTATTTTGTTCATTATCCAGGAGGATGTTGCTATGATCCAGTACCATTGTTTCGCATATATGAGACAAGTTTGTGTAAAGTTAGTGTGACGTGGGGTATGCTCATTGGATGTGAGGTGGTGAGAGTATGCTGATTGGCCGATAACAATTAGTGGAAGGGATAATGTAATGCGCTGCTTGTGCAGCGTAACCAAACACATGGTCTGTGGGAAACACCCTAGTAAAATAAATAAAATAATAATAACATGAATTGCCACCGGCACTTGAGAGACTCGAGCCCCGCCACCTTGTTCAAATCGGACTTGGTAGCTTCATACTGGAACTTAATCTTCTTCTTTTTGAGGTATGACCGTACAAACCGCGCTTGGATTTTTTTCATTTTTATTTTATTATTATTTTTTTTTTTTCATTGCAACTTTTTTAGCAGATAGCAACTTTTTTAGCAGACTCCTGAAACAACGGTGAATCTGGAACGAATAAATGGTCCATGTCAAAGGCATGACGAGTCTCGAAGTCTTCACATTCATGATGGAGCCTTGTCATGATTGACGCATTCCTTGATGGTGCGCACATGAAATCACCCTGGCTCATCTTTTCCAATTCCATTCTTTTCACACCCTGCAACCCATACCCTACTAGTATCAGTGGGGATGCTAGAATCAGAAGAGGCAAGGCAGCACTCTTCCGTGGATGTATTACTCGACACAACACCACCCATACTTGTTTTCTAGAAGTTTTGACTATAATGATATATTGCAGCAGGAAGTAGTATACAGTCAAATAGGATAGGATAAGAATGAATGATCAACTGTCTGATAAAGAATGCAGTTCATTAAAGACTTATTGGAAGGTCTCTACCAGCTGATCGTCATGTCGGACAGCGACACTGCATAATGATATGAAGCTCTCAGTTAGCTGTTTCAGTTCCGTGGTAGAAAGTGTCACGTGTGCGTCCAGAGAACGATGAAAACATCTGGGGTCCACGTTGATGCAGACGATTGGAGCAACAGCAAGACGTACCTTCAACGCTTGCTCGTCAATGTCGAGGGAGACTGCCCCGGGGTAGATGAAAACATCTTGTTCCACATCCAGTTCGAAACAGCTGGTCGGGACTAGCTTGCTTTCACCGTTGATGTACACCCGACATTGACCGTAGGACGAACGTGATGGGTAGAAGTTGGTCTTGATCTTCTCCACACGTCCTCTTCGGAGAGTGTCACGGAGCGATGGACAAGTCTTGATCAAGTTCGTAATGATGAACTCAGTGGACTCATTCAGTTCGATATAAACCTGTCCTTGAGCATCTTTGCGAGCTGTTGCCGTACTACCACAGGCTGGTAGAGCTCCTGAAGGGAAGTACATCTTATAACCAGGCTTGTAGAAGGATCTACCTGATGACTTGTAGGACAGTTGCATGTCCTCCTGAAACCCATCTACCACAATCTCTTTGTGGAGCTTGGTAGGAGCAGGTGACACATAGCGACGCTTAGCCGGTACTGCCTTCGAAGAGAGCACAACTTGAGGAGGGTCAGCAGAAAGAGCGGAATTCTTCCTCACCCGCCGCTCGTATAGGTTATCCATCTTCCAGGAAGCGAAGGGAGAACAACTCATCAGCACTGTATTCGATGAACGAATGATTCGACTACAGGACAACCACCCGTATTTATACAAGGCAGAGACGGAGGCGGGTTGAAGTGATAAAATATGTGTCAGCTAGGTCAACCAATCACCATCAAGCCCACTAAAAACATTTGACCACTCAGCATTGAGCCCACCAAAAACATTTGACCAACCAGCATCAAACCCGCCAAAAACATTTTGTCCAATCAGCGGCATGCCCACCAAAATCATATCTCATCTTAAAGATTCCTTACATGATACCGCCACTTTAGTGAACTGATACAGTATGGAAATAAGATCAGAGTCAAACGTGTGCAAGTTCTGAATCACGTGATCAAGTGAATAGGTTTCCCAACAATAGGCATCAATCAATGATGCCATAAGAGATGTATCAGATGGAGATAAAATCAGCAAATTCGTACGCAACGTGGACAGTTGAGAAGAAGACACCATCCTGGTCGACTCCATGAGATGCAGTACATATAGGAGTGGAAAATGCTGAGGAAGAGGTTTCATGATTCGACTGAACCTCAACCATGATAGATTGCTACGAGGTAAGTAGGAACTCAGTTTACGTAGTACATCCACATTCGTATCGTATACTATGCAGGATAATGCTATAGCATAGTTTATACTCTTGTACAAAGAGGATTTTTTCATCGCAAGTATCTGCTCCCGAAGAGGGTGTACGCAAAGCTGATCGGATAAGAGTTCAGGTTTCGAAAGAAAATGCAAAAGATGACGATCCACACCGCTTAACCGCTCATGTACCGCGTAAGGCTTCTTCATCAAACTACATCTCCTATGCACATCATCTTCAGGGAAGTAAATCACCGCCATGACAAGTCCACACGAAGAACACACGGATCTTCCTTCATGTAAAACATGATCAAGATGTTGACACTGTTTTTCC